TGGATCCGGCCTCCGTTGCAGCCATCTTGTAGATCCAAAAACCGCTCCCTTGGTTGTCTCACTGTCATCCTCCACGACGGCCCCACTAATGGGATCACGCCGGCGCCAAAAGGGACGCATGCATGCACAGCCATGACTGGATTGACTTGCCGTGGCACAAAACTGTCCATGTCGACGCATCGCCCGCAAGGATTGCAGCCACCCGACGAGCATTGCAACCCCGCGCTGGACTCCAACACGTGTCATTGCATAGCTAAGAGCGGTGTCACCAACAAACGTGGCCCTCTTTGGTAAGTGCCTCTGGAAATGTGCCACTTGGCAACAAGTGGAAACACCTGGATATGTTTGTCGAGTGCTTTTCAGGCACTTGGCAGACTGTTTCCAGATTTTTAACAAGAAAATAGAAAACGTTTGGCGAGTGTTTGTTAGCCAACACTCGGTAAAGAAAGCCCCGCTGTGACAGATCCATCAACTGCGAGGGTAAGGTACATGTGTCAACAACTTTGCCAAACGCCGCCAGAAAAAAAAACTCAACAAACGTTGATTTGCCACTAGACATCATGCAATAAAAGCAGAAAAAGTTGACACATTACAACTCATATTTGGTAGAGGGAGTTGGGAGGGGGAAAGGCTAAAGTTTTGTGAGTTGAAGGTTGTATTGTGACCAATATCGTAGTATAGAATTGGAAACTAAAGTTGAACTGAGGTGTGAATATACATGCACTTATCTCAGCACGAAAGCACAGGAACAGAAAACAGTAAACAGATGTGCATGTCCAGTTGAATTCGTTGAATTCCATGAACTGTTTAATTGTGTTGTATTTCTTATACTTTATGGTACATGGCCTACTAAATATTGTACCTTAGCCCAATTAAAATTCTAAAATGTCAACGACCCTTTTGAGATGCAAGGCAACTATGGAAGTTTAGTACTCCCTCTGTAAAGAAATATAAGAGCATTTAGATCACTACTTTAGTGATCTAAACGCTCTTATATTTCTTTACGGAGGCAGTATCATTCTGCCACTAGAGTAGAAGAATGACCAATATATAAGGGGGGTTGTTCTACTTCTTGTAGCATGAGAAAATAGGGAAATAATGCGTGTGTTCACTCACTCGGTCACTTCACGCCATGCTATGTCACGCACGCGTGTCGTGATTCATGAATTGAGTTTGAGTTTGAGTTTGGGCTAATGTTACACGCCTTGCTGGAAGAAATAAATATTTGCATGGTAATACAATGCATAGCTCTATGTGTACCTGTCAATATTATTCAAGCTTCTTGTGGACACGTTTTGTACTTCCAGAGATCTCTTCCACCACGTCTTAGTTGCATATCTTCACTCTCCCACACGTCCTCTATATGCATAGGAAAGATAATACGCATAACACAAAAAACATAGCTGAATCTCTCTCTCTCTCTTTCTCTCTCTCTCTCTCCGTCCGGACGAGTTCTTGCTGAGCTGCTTCTTCGGCTACCACATACCAAAGACTGCGTGCACAATCGCTCGGGAGAGCAGGCCTCCAGAACCGCATCTCTTGAGAATCTGCACCGGATGAAGGGCGATAAGGTTTTTGGGGACCGTCTAGGCGCTACTTCTCGTTGAAGTTAAACTACAGCATTTGTGTCCTCTTTCTTTGAGTACTTCATCTAATGCAGACGACCACCTTGTCTTCACCACCATGGGAGGAGATGATGTTGCACCGGAGTTTTTGGTGCCCTCATATGTCTTGAACCTTTCTCTATTGACATGTACCTTTGTTCCAAATGTGTATGTTCTAGATGTTCCTACTTTGTTGTATGCAATTTACCATGTTAGTAATCTTGTGATAATGCTAATCTAGATTAAGCTTAAACAAAAACTACCCAATTTCCTAATAATCCTAAAACATTATCTATGTAAGAAATTTTCGTTGACTAGCTTTTATGTTGCTCTAAAATCAAGCCCATTGACAGGTACTCACTCAAGAGATGACAAACTAAAACCATCATGTGGATCCTCTCTATGAACATTTACTGGATTTCATCTCGCACTCCAAGTGGTCCACTTACTCTTGAATAGGATAAATCATTCTCGGAGGCCACTGTAATATTTGTTGAGTGAAAGGTCAGTTGTTGGATATTTGCATAATGCCAAAGAACTTTCGAATGCACTTGAATCCGAGTTTGATACCACCGATGTCGGTGGTGAACTGTATGCTATAGAGAAGCTCATTAACTACATAATGGTTGAGAACTGTTTCGTGGTAGAACAAGTTCATAAGAGGTAGTGCATGGAAAAGGAACTCAATCGCCTTAAGTGTGTGTTGCCCGATAAGTTTGTTGCTGGGAGCATTGTTGCTGACTTTCCTCGTTCGTGGAGGACTTTTCCACTTCTCTAACACATCACAAACAAGAGATCTATGTCGAGATCCTAATTAGATGTTTGGATGTTCAAGAGAAGCCGGGGGTAAAGGACACACAAGTTAAAAGTCAAGGGACAATTTGCTGCCAATGTAGTCCGGAAAAATGATCACAAGCTCATGGAAAAGAGCAAAGTCTCAAAGACTACAAACTTCAAGAAGAAGAAGAATAAGTAGAAGAAGGCCCAAAAAGGCAAAGCAAGAAAATGAGAAGGATCCTTGTTGGGTTTGGGGTGCAGATGATCATTGCTCTCCCAAGTGTCCAAAGCACTACAGCTGGGAAAAGGATCCTACACAAAGTTCTAATTCTGTCAATCTGATCATTGGCATGCTAAAGGGGAACATTTGTGTATGGTAATTTACCTACTATTCTTTCAACGTGTCAATCTACCGATAGGTGGGTTGACACTAATGCTAATATTCTTGCGTGTACTAACATATCTTTGTCTACCTCTTGTAAGG